AAGCACATGAAAGATTTTTATTGGTAATAACAACTTTGAATACTGCTTTTTACTTTGTAAAGCAATGAATTACAGACTTCTTTCTATAAAAAAGTAAAAGCACAGTGAAAGGATATTTGCATGTCACTTTCAAACTGCAGCAATTTAGAACACAAAATAACTCAGGTGGCCAGCACAGAATTTATCCTGTAGGTGGTAAAATTAAAAAACAAGCAGACAGACAAACCTCAGGTATGATTCTGAGTCTGTCAACGCACTGTTAGTAATGCATGACTTCAACTTAGTACTTACAACAAAGGGTTCTGGTTTTTGAGACAGTTACATGTAACCCCAGGCTGGTCTAAACTTGCTATGTAGCCGAGATTGGCCTCAGACTTCTCATCTTTTTGCCTCTAATCCCAAGTGCCTGTAATCCCAAGTGCTGGGATTACAGACTTGAGTTGCCATGCCCAATTTGGAATTCAGCTGTTGGGTTTCTTTCTTTTATTATTTTTAAATATTTTGTTTGTATGTGCATATGCTCACACACCTGTGTTCTCAAGAACCAGTGGAAGCCAGAAGAGCCGCTGGAGTGAGCTGTTCCACGTGGGTGCTGGAACCCAGGACCTCATGATGGAGCAGCAAGTACTGCTGAGTCATCTTCTCTTCAGCCCCGCCCCCATTTATTATTTTTATGTGTGCTGATGTGAGCATGAGCATGCCACAGTGCATGTGCAGAAGTGAAAAGACAACTTTCCCGAGTCCTCCTTCCACCATGAGCTGCTGGGGCTCAGACAAACTTGGGGGCCAGAATTGCAGAGCATTTTACCTGCTGGGCCATCTTGGTTATCCAGAATAAGTTGTTTTGTTTTGTTTCAATGTTTATTTTTATTTTATGTGCATTGGTGTTTTGCCTACATATATGTCTGTGTGAGGGTGTGGGTTGCCCTGGAGCTGGAGTTACAGTTGTGAGCTGCCATGTGGGTGCTGGAATTGAACCGGCATCCTCTAGAAGAACAGCTGGTGCTCTTAACCACTGAGCCATTTCTCCAGCCCCCAGAAACTTCCTTAGAGGTGTAACAACTTGATGGCTCTAAATTAACATAGATTGATGTATGCACTGACCTGATTTACATCACTTCTTGGGTCAGCACTAGCCTAATGCACATCAGTTCCTGCTTCAGCACTGGCTTGATGCAAATCATTTCCTGGGTTTAACTTAACACTAAAAGATAAATGATCGAATGAAAGAGATCTCCTGAAGCCTTTTTCTTCCCTGGGTTTATATCCCCCAAGTGACCTTGTCCTGGGTGGGAAAACAGTAGCAATATCAAAGCAGTCATGTAAAATTCATTACAGAAAGTTTAGAAACCAGTGGGCCATGTATAGATCTCAGCATTAGGAGGTAGAAGCAGGAAGATCACTTAAAGTTCAAGGCCAGTCTGCCCTACACAGTGAGTTCTAGACTAGCCAGGCATACATATTGAGAACCTGTCTCAAAAAAAGGGGGAAGAAGTCGTGGCACCATGATTATGACAATGTTGATGTGTAACATGATGCTTATAAATCATTACAATTTGAGTCATGTTATGTTTATTATTTATGTGCAGAAGCTCCCTTTCACAAATGTGGTCACAGGGATCAAACTCAGATTGTCAGGACTGGCAGCAAGCGCCTTTTCCTAGTGAGCCATTTCACCATCCTGTTAGCTAATTTAAGTCAAATAACATTTCACCCTTAGGAGCTGATGGTCAAAGTCTTTATTATGTTTTTCATTTCAAGATGGAAATTCTAATCAGTGTCCCAAAAAGGTCACTGAAGAATCAAATGTGTCCCAACACTTGGGAGGCAGATCTCTGTGAGTTCAAGGCCAGCCTGGTCTACAGAGCAAGTTCCAGGACAGGCTCCAAAGCTACAGAGAAACCCTGTTTCAAAAAACAAAACAAAAGTACTAATGTGAAAAACTCCAGTAATAATAATACATATTACCTGAAGAACGGGGTGGGTGGGGGTAAAAGGGAGAGAGTAGAACACAGCAAAAAATGTTGGCACAGAAAAGCTAATTTTGAAAATGGGGAATAACTGCCAGGCATGGAACAGATACCTGTATCCTCACACACAGGAGACTAAAGCAAGGGGGTCTCAAGTTATCAGCCATCCTGGACTACCATGGCCACCATGCCTGGCCATGAAGTGTTCTCTCTTTAAACAAATGTACAGCTGTTTCCTAGCTCTATCCTTGAAACAATGGCCACATCAACAACAGTAGCTATCCTTAGAGCCTTCTGGAATGAAAAAGGTCTTGTGTAGCCTAGGTTGTCCTTGACCTTGCTATTTAACTGGGGAAGAGCTTGAACAACAGAAACTCCCTACAGGCACAGGCTACCATCCCCAGCTTTGGACTGTGCTTTGAAATACCATCCCACACAGGAAGAAAGCTGGCTTCTTAGAGAGCTGGTGATTTTAGAGCCATAGCAGCAAACACAAATTCCACATGGAGGATCTCGCTGTAGGAGACAGCAAGGAAAGTAACAAAATGTTCAAAGGACTCAGCCAACCTTTGAGGAATGGCCAAAGAAAAGAGAAGTTGAACCTCAATAAAGTGATGTTTGTAATGGATGGAAGTTCATTCATAGATGTCTAAATACTTGAGTTCATAATTGTTTCTTTGGTTTTTGAGACAGGGCCTCACACTATAGTCCAAGCAGGCCTACAACTAACTATGTAGCCCAGGTTGAGGTTGAACTTGAAGCAATACTTGTTTGCCTCCGAGGCACATACATGTCACCATCCATGAGCAAAAATGTTTCTTATAATAACACATTAAGCTTTACAGTTTTTTATCTGGTTTTTAGTATGTGTGCTTTATTTTATACTTTTTAAGATGTTAAAATTAAAAACAAAGCTTGGGAGTTCCACTCAAAATTACCAATGTGAAAATTTAGACCACAAATATCAACAGATAGGTCTTAAGAAATCACCTATATTATAAAATACTTCTAAATAATAAGGTACAAATATTTGAAAAATTCTATCAAATTTTTATATGCATATATGGTATGTCAATAGTTAAGTCCACATAAATTTTTTTTCTTTTTTCAGTTTTTTAATGTTTTTATGGTCTTATTAGCCAAGGCTGGCCTTGTATTTCTGATCCTTCCACATCCCAAATACTTGGGTTATAGGCATGAACCACCATGCCCAGCTAAGTACACATTTAAAACACAAGATTTCTTATAATATTATGCACTGTAATTTGGTTAAAATCGATTCTGTTGACTTCAAATTCTTTCCTTTCCTCCTTTCATGTAAGATCATTCACATTCCTTTATTGGAGATTACAGCATTAAGATTTGAATACATTTCAGATTTCCTTTAATGTCCATATTTTGGTCCACCCTTTTGCATAAAACAGAGATTGGTTATCTTGCCTAGCCATGATGGTAGTCACTAACACGTAGAATTATGCACAGTATCACCAATGTGCACACAGAGCTCTTTCATCACATACTCCGTCTGTGTCTCTTCCATCTGGTAACAGCCTATGGTTAAATGTGGTTAAATGTCTAAGAAACTCAAGAATGTAAAGGCAGATCTAAACCAAAACGAAAGCAGATTTTGAATGCAACATAACAAAGACAAGCATGTAACACTGTAGTACATTTTTCGTCATCAAACACTGACAATTTCCCTCCAGTCCTTCAAGCAGCATCTTAAATGGTACAAGTGAATCGTCCCTTGATACTTATAAAATTATGTAGTGTTTGAGTGATTCACATATTCAAGAAGTGATCTGTCTAACACTCTTCGGATAAGGGCTTCCTCGATTATATCAAAATCCTACAATAGAGAAGAATGATTAGAAACAGTCAGTAGTGTTTCAGAAATGAGAAGGATTGGTACAAGGGTCAACATAATGCTAATTTTCCAGGAAATAATTTCTCTGAGTTACAAGGCCTGTTCATCATTCCAGGAGGCCTGTCAGGCCCAGAACTGACTTTGAGGTTACTGTTTCCTGTTTGGCTTCACTGGCCTTTCAGGAATTGCCATCAAGTCTTAATAGTTTATAGAGAATAGTAGACATCTGGGTTGGAAAGTGACCCAGTGTTAAGACCACAAACTGCTCTTCTAGAGGACCTGAACTCATTTTCTAGCATCTACTGTGATGGCTAAAGAAACTCATTTTGTGCTAGGCATGTATGCACCTTGGTACCCAATAGCTGTTTGTCTCTGACTCAAGCTCCTGGAAGATGCATTCCCAGCATCTCTGACTCCTTAATGCACAACCATGACCATGCGCTTGTTATGCTATGACTAATTGCTGGTTTTGGCTTCTGTAATTTGCTTGTACAGACATTCAAGAACTATTTTGAGGTCACCTCGACCATCTAATCTTGGTACAGCAGAACATTTTTTGTGGATGTCACCTTTAAAAGCCCTTCCCTCAGCTGCATCTTCGAGGCACATCTCTGATTTGGATGAGAGATTGAGTCCCTTTAATAAATTTGTTTAATTATAATTGACTCTGGGGTCTTTTCCCAGTGGTCTCAAACTCTACAACACCACATTAGGTGGCTCACAACCGCTAGGGAATCTGATGTCCACTTCTAACCTTACTGGACAAACACCCCCCCACCCACAACATACACATAGACATAAGTAAAAAGTAAATTAAAACCTTAAGATTTATTTATAAAAGTAAAAGAAAGGAAGCCTTGTCAGATCAGGATGTTCTCTACATTTCACACATACCTGGAATAAAGTTTACACATCCCTGCTAGTTTTTTTTTTTGGGGGGGAGGGGGGTCACAGTTGAATGACAGTATTTTCCTAGAATGGACAAGACCCCAGGGTGAATCTCTAGTACTGGGGAAAAAGAAGGACATTCCTAGGATTCAGAATACTAACAGTTCTATTAATTACTGATTTACGGACAGAAAAATTTCAACAAAATCCTCTTCTTGCTTCTTTATGCATCAAAGTGAAATTTAAGCTTCATATCAGCACTTCTATAGGTAAAAACAAAATGTAGTAAGAACCCTATCCCTCTCCAGTTCCTCTCACTTCTAAAACAAAAGGTGAAATTGCTATTGGAAGTTCAGTCTATGGTTTTAGTTTGTTCATTGAGACAGAGTCTTACTGGGTGGCTCTGGCTGGCCTGGAACTTACTATGTAGCCCAGGATGTCCTTGAACTCACAGAGCTCTGCCTGCCTCTGTCTCCCCAGGGCTGGGATCAAAGGTGTGCACCACCACAGCTGTTGAAAGAAGACTACTTCAATATTAGTAGTGAATGCTACTCTACAGACATGACATTCTCCTTAATGCTAATGTTAATCTATACACTTTCCTACATGCTCAATTTTTTTATAATTTTATTCATGGGGAGTTTTAAAAGTAAGCTTAACAATACAAAAGCATAATGTAAAAGGTAGAAATATACTTACTAGGAAATCATCATAAAACAAAGTGTGGCTGACTTGCAAATGTCTAATTAAGCTGCCATTGAAGGTACTTGGGCTCTCATTAGGTAGTAAATGGCAAAGCGGGCAGAACTAGAAAAAAAGACCAATAAATAGTTTAAATAATTATTAATCCCAGAATTTTAAAAAAGAAGTCACTATTGAATGTGAATTTTAACTATGAATCCATTGGGCATACCTCAACATTGCATTTTGTTTGCTTAGTTTCTGTAGGAGTGATGTATACATGTGTTCTTGTGTTTGCATGTCATGTACAGGGTCATGTCTGTGCATGTTCATGTGAAGGTCAGAGGCCAGTGTCAGGTGTTTTCCTCAGTTCTCCACCTCATGATCTTAATTTATTTTCATTTTTTATTTCCACTGTATTTAAGGTGCCATACAGTTTTTAAGGATTTTTTTTAAAAAATGATTTATTGACTTTTATGTGTATGAGTGTTTGCCTGAATATAATATGTGTACCATATCCCTGCCTGGTGCCCATAGAACCCAGAAGAGAGCATTAGATATTCTGAAACTGAAGTTATAGATTGCTGAATGGTACCACATAGGTGCTGAGATCTGAACCTAGGTCCCCTGCAAGAGCAGCAAGTATTCTTAAACACCGAGTCATCTCAATGTTTCTCAATTGAGAAGACAGAGCTTCTCAATGAACCTGGAGCTAAGCAATTAAGCTAGGCTAGCTCTCAGTCCTGGGACTCCAGGTGGGTACCACACCATCACACTCAGATTTTAAGAGAGTGCAGAGAAACAGACTTGGTCTTCCTGTTTGTGTGAGGCACTTTACTGACTAAGCCATCTTCCTAGCACTGTTTTGTTTTGTTTCTCATAAAGTTCTCAGGCTAGCTTTGAATCTACTGTGGCCAAGTCTGACCTTAAACAACATTCTACTACTACACTTGGCTTCATATCTCAATATTAAAAAATTATATTTATAGTCAGGAAGATCTCTGTGAGTTGAAGGCCAGTCAGGTCCACAAAGAAAATTCCAGGCCAGCTAAGGCTGCATGGTGAGATTCTATGCATTTATTTTTCTCATCTGAATATTGTTTTCTTTTCTTTCTTTTTCTTTTTCTTTTTTTTGTTTTTGTTTTTTGTTTTTTGTTTTTCGAGACAGGGTTTCTCTGTGTAGCTTTGGAGCCTATCCTGGCACTCGCCCTAGAGACCAGGCTGGCCTGGAACTCACAGAGATCCACCTGCCTCGGCCTCCCAAGTGCTGGGATTAAAGGTGTGCACCACCAACGCCCGGCTGAATATTGTTCTCTTAAGAATTAAAAATAAATTACAGGGCTTCACTGTTGTAGACCTGCCTATCCTAGAACTCACTATGTAGACCAGGCTTGTCTTGAACTCACAAAGATCCACCTGCTCTGCCTTCCAAAGGTGTGTGCCATCATGCCCAGCAACACAACATTACATAGAGTTTCTTGGGGTTGGTGAAATGCTCTTGGGTAAAAGCACTTGACACCAGTTGTGCCAAAAGTACTCTCCCAAAAGACTCCCCAAAGTTCTCTCATCTCCACAGGAGAACTTGGTGTGAACACACAGATAAATAAATGTAGTAACTTTAAAAATTAGAAAATAAGTAAGTGCTAGCACAGAACTCACTGTGCAGCCCAGACTGGCCTCAAACCTGCAGCATCTGTTTTTCCTTACCTCCCAAGCACTGAGATTACAAGCACGACCCAAGATGCCCAGATTCTAATATATCTTAAATTCAGACACTATATTCAGACAGACAGGTAATAGGTAGGAATC